CCACTTAAGTGCATTTGCTAGCAGAAGAGTGAGGCAACGCTCAGCACAAAAGACCTCAACATTTGTAGCTCCCTTTGTCCCCCAACCCTCTGCAGTGCTTTCCCCGATATCGGGGAGCAGGGTACTCCCTAGTCTCAACAGGAAATATCTGCTTTTTAGAAGCCATTTTCTCTGCTTATTTTATACAATAGTGGGCGCACTATAAGGCCCTAGGTACTGTGTTGCTGAAGTCCTCAGCATCAATGACACAACCAGAGGAAGTTGAGTTAATTAGACCAGTATGGACAATAGTTGCATTAGGTAGGTCTCTTGTCAGAAATGGGGCAAATGGCAAGGTCATGAATGTGGCCGGTCGCTTTCACTCCATTGGCCTCAGACTTGGTACAACATCAGTGTTCTCTTCCTTGGGGGAAAGTAAAGTAAAAATGGCTGAGATACTGTGTCCAAGGGGTGGGGGAGTTGAGGGAAGTTTACATGGCAAGAAAAGATAAAGTTTGATAAGGTAAAAGGGAAAACAAAGTACGGGAATTGAAGAATGGATGAGATTTTTACAGGTTGGGATGGGGAATTCAGACTTGGGAAGGTGGCGCTAATCCAGGGGAAGCTGGTAGTTACAGGCGAGGGGGAAGGGGAGCAGATGGGTGGATGGAAGGCTAGAGCTTCCAGTGTGTGTGTGGGGCAGGGGTTGTTAAAAATCACCGAAGATTTCTGAGCAGGAGGCTGAGGTCTGAGCCAGGTGATGAAAGACAGCAAGTACGGGATGAGATGGAGTGGGGCTGGAGGGGAAGGGGCTTAGGGTGCTATTACAACTTTCCCAGCAGCTTCGAGGAGAGGTCATGAGGGCTTAAATGAACCAGGTGGTGGACCACACTGAGGTGTTAATTGCTCTAAGATCTTTTGTTTTCTATTAAAATAAATTTTGAAAATATTTTCCAAATACATTTGGAAATATCAAGCAAATAAAATTTGAAACTATCAAGCAGAATTGGATTAATTGGGGGAATTGAGGACCTTCTTATAGCTGAGATCATAGTAGCTCTAAAGCAAGTTCTGAACAATAGGCATTTAAAAATCTTTTTTTTAGAAGAGCAACATGTTTAGGTACATTTGGCATGGGGTGGGAGTGTTAAGTCTTCATTCTTTCTCTCAACCAAAACCCCTGCAGATAGGGTTATTTTATTTTTTTTAAAGAAGGCTCGGAGGAGCCTCAGATATTATCTAGGTTGGTTATGGTAAGTAGGTTTGTGTCTTATACTCCAATACCAACTCAACAGTGTAGCTGGCTGCATTGAGAAGGATTCTAAGGGTGCAAGTGCTCTGGCTTCATGCAGCAGTGTCCTCGTGCATTAGCAATGTCTCCCCTGGGCACGTTTTAGGAAAAGAAAGCACAGATGTGATGTATTTGCCATCCTCGAGTCATACCTCTTATTTCACAGTCAAGGAGAGATTATGTGACTTTCCCCAGCTCATAGGTAGTAAAATTTAGAATTCATGTCCATTGTTTTTTCCACTACTCTTTCCCACATGGGGTTTCACTATGGTTTCTCCCTTCCCTGATCTGGTGTGGTGTGGTGTGGTGTGGTGTGTGTAAATGGAGAAAGTGGAGAGGGGCTGGCCCTGCCTCTGGCAAACCTCTTCTTCTTCTAAATCTGTGGGAAATGGGCAGTTGGGGAATCAGCTCAGCCCTCTGGGCATCAGCTCCTCAGAGATCAAACAAGGTCAGTCAGCTAGCCAATTTCTAAGTACTCTTCAAAATCCGAGTCTCTTTCATGCCCTTTGCACATAGTAAGTACTCCATATATAGTTACTGAATTGAACTAAAATGGAATTTTCTTCAGGATAGCAATATTTGGCTTAGTCACATTGTGTAGGAAAGGAGCAAGAAGGGAGGCAAAATGATGTTGCTTTGGTCAACACTATTATCTAAAACTCTTCTCTTGATGAATCTGTGGTGTTATGGCCTGAATTGTGTCCCCTCAAAATTCAGATATTGAAGCCCTAAGCCCGCAGTGTGACTGTATTTGGAGAGAGGGCCTTTACAGAGGTAATGAAGGTTAAATGAGGTCATAAGGGTGGGCCCTAATCTGAAATGACTGGTGTCTTTGTAAGAAGAGATGCCAGGGCTGCACAGGCACAGACAACAGGGAAGGTGGCCATCTGAAAGCCAAGAAGAGAGGCCTTAGAAGAAACCAAAGCCTCTTGGTCTTGGACTTTCAGCCTCCAGAACAGTGAGAAAATAAATGTCTGTTGTTTAAGCCCCCCAGTCTGTGGTATTTTGTTATGGCAGCCCTCGCAAACCAATACAGATGGTTCCCTCAATTATCTCAGGCCTGGGTTAGCACATCTCAAAAAGCCCTTTGCTTTTGTTTCTTCGCCCCTTACTATTAACCTTCACAGATTGTCAGCCCCTCGACCTGCAGAAGAGAAAGCTCCTCAGGAAATCTGGAGCAGGAAAGAAGTATATGGCATTTGTCAGCTGGGAGACACGAGGTATTGGAGGGTGGTTCGGTCTTGATCAAAGTCATGGCCCCGTCCCCGGTGAACTGGGGCTTCCTTCAGTGGATCGGTCCTCTTGCTTTTGGAAAACTCCGTTCTGCGCTGCCCAGAGCCGGCTATATAATTTGTTGGTCTGGTGAAGTGAGGGAAGGTGGGATTCCTTGTTCAAATATCTTGAAAGATGTCAAGATGGTGACAGGAGAGGATTCAGCCAAACGCTGGCCCTACGTAACTGCTCGGGGGCCATGGGGGGGAGCCAGTCTTGTGCTGTCTCGGCCACGGCCTCCCTGAAGCAAGGAGGCAAATCTACACTGAAATCATCAGTCTGAGCATGTTCTAGAACACACGGACTTTGGGGCAGTTTTACAAATGTGGCGAATATTCAGCCATGTCCAACTGAGATCAGGACTCGATTTTACCTGCAAAGAATGGGTGTGGCACTAAAACTTGGTAATAAGCTCATTTCTCTGAAACAGGTAAAGTTTAAACACCTTTTATTTCAAGAAATATTGCTTCTAGACTTTCCCGAAGCCAGAATTGTTCTATAAAAGTATCACAGAATATTACACAAGATTAAAAAACACAGTATGCTTCCTAATAACTTGAAACCTTTTTACAAAGCACATCATTCATGACCATAAATATGTTTCTTCTGTCATTCAGCTGGTGACACACACATCTGATAAAGAGCTAATTTTAACATATGTACAGAGTCTATGATAAAGACTTAAAGTTATCAAAGATTCAACTACAACATATTAAATTTTCTTTAAAAGAGTTTACCTTAAACAAAGAAAACATAATTTACCTATGCATTTGAATGATCTAAAAATAAAAAGAAAATCACTGTTAAGCTAAAAAAAACCTTCTTGGGAAGTTGGCTAGGGTACTGATAATTCTCACTGAGGTAATCCTTTTGCTGGTATTTAAAAATCTAATACATAACAAGAATATTTTCAAGAATACAGAATTTCAAAAGCAGTCTTGAGTTATGTCTTTAAAAAAATCAGAACTTGGTGAAGGCCTTAAAAATAATCATATAACACATATGGTGTGTTTAAAATATGAAACATTTGTGAGTTTGTTTTATTGAAAAAGATTTCTTATATAAATTCAAAACTAAGCATATCTTCTCAAAACTTGACCTTACTAGGCAGGTCAAGAAAACGAAGATGAGCGAAAAAAGTCTTCAGTCCTTTTATCCTGTTAATAAAAGAATAAAAATTTCGCAATCTGAAGCATATGATGAACGCTTTGAGGCTAGGCACAGAGAGAGCAGACAATCTTGGTTTTGTTGATTTATTTATTTTTACTGCCAACATGGTTAGCCATGCCTTTCTGCTAATCAAGTTTAGCAAGTCGAGGAAAACGCATGCAATGTCTTCTGGCAAAAGCGTATGCTGAACAATATGTCATCCATACTGTGTGTCATTCTTGGGGTCTACTTCCCGTGGTCACACTGAGAGCAAGGAGTGAGACTATGAAAAGCCTATGGGAAGAAAAAAAAAGACTAACCAAACAGACATGGTATTCTGATCTCAAAGTGCAAAATCATTGAAGGTGATGGCACTGTAAAGTTCCAGTGGTTAAAAAAGGAATCAAAACCACATTAGGCGGGCAGTGGAAAGTGTGCTGAAAAATTCATGGAGGAGGTCAAGTTTTAGAAACCCAGAAAGTTACAATTCTAGCCATCTTGATTGGATAATATTTGGATAGGCATATCCCTATCATTTTCAAAAGATAATACTGTTTTAGTCTCCCCACAAACAAACACGAGTCAACCTTTCTTTCTATTCTGGACCGATCGTGAATTACAACCCTGAGTCCCTGTGTGCCTCCTGCTGACCTGCGCCCTAACTCCTGCGCCTATGTGCCGAGGGTAGCTTAGAATGTTGGCTGTTGTGATTGCCTTTATTAGTTTACTAACAAAAAGTTAAAAAAAAAAATACTGTGTTTAGGGTAAGGTCACAATTTCAGCTAATCGGAGGAGAGTGGAAAGGAGGCACTGCCTTCGAGAGTCTGTAAGCTCCCCATCTTGTGATTCTTCACCTTGTTCAACATCCTCTTCTCGCTGCTGGAGTTGGTCGGCTGCTCCCTGGCAGACGTATTGATCGGCTGATGAATGGAATCCACATCAGCATGCGCAGGAAGATGCAGCTGATCTTCAAAAACATCCTCGCCTGGACTGCCCCCCCGGGGAAGAAGATCAAAAACATCCTTGCCTGGACCGGCCCCCCGGGGAAATTCTTGCTGCAGCCGGGGCCTGGGTGGCAGCATCAGCTCTGTGAGGCCGTTGCCACTAAAATCGCTTGCAAGATGATTTCTCTCTTCGTGCTCCGTCCACGTGTCAGTTTTATGATTTCTCCAGTGTTCAGAATTCAAACGACTCACTTCGGGAATGTCGTTGTTCCATTCAAGTTTTGTCTCTGGACTGAATGTTGGTTGGTTCAAAGGCAGGGTTCGAAGGTCAGCCGGCCAGGTCCAATAAGGCGCTTCCCCAACCGTAGGACTCGGGTCCTCACCTGACTCCGCGGAGGCTCTCTCTACCGGCGCAGAGAGCTCAGCAGATCCAGCCAGGGACCCATCACTTTGAGCAGTTGCAGTCTTATTTGTTTTGTCTTGCTCCTGGTGGCTGTTCAGCAGTGCAAATACTCTATCTACATCCTTCAAGTAATTAGTCCAGTCAACCAGACTAAGTGTATAGTTTTGTCTGTCCTCATAGACACTTTTGTTCACTCTGTATAAATCCTCCAGACCTTGCCAGTTGACATCTGCAGCGAGGCTGGGTGGATTAACCTTCCCATCCATCCCATAACTGTCCTCTGTGAAAAGAGAGAGGGAGGTGGATCATTAGGGGAGAAAGTATTTCTTACTTATCGGACAAGCAACTTACATCGTTTTTAGCAGGGCAAATCCATTTGAAATACAATGCTAAAAAGTATTTTCCCCTAGTCATTTGTTGTCAGGGAGGGGACTTAGGTTACAGAAGTGATCGAACAGTAACAAAACATTGGAAAGAGGCACAAACGAGTGCAAACCTCTCTGATGAAGCACAGTTGGTGATGGAAATGCATGGCATCATCGGTCAGGGGGCTGGTGTTTTACTCCTGGCTCTACTCAAGGCAACTTTGCAACCAGGACATCACGTGAGTGAGGCTCTCTGAGTCTTGGTCCCTCATCTGTCAGATGCGAGCATAGTTGTGTGATGGAACCTTTACCATCTACAGGGTCGCTGGGCGAATGATGAATTTGAAAGCGTTTTAATGTAAAAGGCAATGCTTAGTCAGACATTTTTATGCTCCCTGGCACTCCGTATAAAAACAAATGTCAGTGCAATTAAACTCTTCAAATCCAATGCTTGAATCTGTTTCTTTGATTTTGTTTTTGCCCTAAAAGTTCTATGCTCCAGATAAGTCAAACTTTGAATGGTTTCCACAGTGTACAAAGAACGCACCAGCTTTCTCTCTCTCTCAGATCTTTCTACATCACCAAGGTGACTACAGTCCTGTGGGAAATAGCATCTTTTCTCTTATTATGTCCAAGTACCATTTAGAAAGAGGCAGCCTGGATTAATGTGATCAACTATACACAAAGCAATACAGACCAGCAGGAAGAATAAGTAAAACTACACAAAACCACACTCTTAGTAAACTAGAAGATAGAAAATTATGTAATCTTCAAACAACCTGTAAGTTAAAAAAAAAAAAAAAGTTAATACCGAATCTCAACAGAGCTGTATGTCGCACTCTGGGCACGAGCCCTGGGAAAACGGTATGGACCAGAGAAGCAGGAAATCAGGTTGCAGCCAAGAACTGAGTTGAAGCCATCACTGGAAAGCATGTCAACCTGATGTAGAGAAGACTGTACGAATCCTGGTAAACTGCGGTGGAGACGAGGAAGAGACTCAGAAGTGGGCATGAATCGAGGTGGCAGTCAGAAAGGGAGGAAGGAAAGGACACAAAGCAAGAAGCAACATCCTTTGGAAACTGGGAGATAAAGGAAAAGGGCAGTAAAAGGGGGAAATGTCAGATCCTGTAAGGAAAAAAGAGAGAGAAAAAACGAAGACATACAACCTCCCCTACTCCCATCCCCAAATAATAATAAAATAAAATAGTAAAAAGATAGTAGACTTGGTTACACCCACTAGAAATGATCCTCTTAAACTAGAAATCTTGTAAATTCTTGAAATCCATGAAATTAAGAAAAGAAGCCTGAATCTAGACAAAATTGTTATAAAAGAAAATAGAAAATAAGAATAACAAAATCTGTCATCTTATGAAAATGCCAAATGCCCTGCCAAAATAAACCATAAAGTGAAGAAAACCACAATACAACATTGCCAAGTAAATTAAGTGTTTTCAATCAAGCACCCCAGGGTGTGAAAACCATCTTAAATCAGAAATTAAAGTACAAACCAAGGATCTTAAAACCATCCAAGCTCTTTTTCAAATATCAGGGCTACAGAAAAAACAGGTCTAAAAATTAAAATGTAAGAATGCAGGGAATACTGTCCACATCAATTTTTCTTGAACAGTCTCCATCCAACCAAGAAATCACTGCAGAAACCAGCAAAAACACTGATGCTGAGCATTTAATGTACTTATCAGATTTAGGAGTACTTGATAAAGGTAGGAGAAGGGTCTAAAGATAATATATACATTTTATATGACAAAGTAAAAATAATGTAACTAGAAATGGGAGGGAAGATAGAAAAGCCGAAAGAAAAGAAGCTCATTGAGAGTTGATTTGAAATAATAGGTGGGAGTCAAAGAACATCATTAAAAACTGATCAGTGAGATAATACAAGATTAAATAAGAAACGGGGGACTAGGGGTATTAAAACGTTTAAGTTCAAAAGCAACCAATAGGACAAAAATACAAATCCTACAAAGTTCCAAAGGGGGAGGCGGAGGAAACCATCTTTATAAAGAAGAAACTATCTGTAAAAGATGCCAAGTGAAATACATGGAAACATAATAATAAGTGATACTCAAGTGGACTAAAAATAAATACGAACCTAGAAGACCTAAATATATAATCAGTCAGGTAGTTCTCATTTAAATGTGTTCAATAGTATACTCCCAGGGTAGAAGTCACACCTTCTCAAACACACATAGAAATTCACATTATTTGATTGTGTTAGGTCACACACACACACAAAAAATCAGTAAGTTGCATAAAATAGAAATATTACAAACACTCTGACACAATACAATGAAACAAGAAATTAATGACATTAAAACAACAAGAAAGCCCTTTCACCTGGAAGCTGACAAACATCATCTGGGTGAAAAGGAAAATACAAACCTAGAAGTGCAGAATTAAAAAAAATGATAATGCAAATGCTATGTATTAGAACCTATGACACATAAGGCATGATACTTATGCATCATTTTAAGCATCCTTAGCCTTAAACACTTTTATCATGAAAAATAAATGAATTTTTTAAAAGATTTTATTTATTCGAGACACACACAGAGAGAGAGAGAGCATGAGCAAGGGGAGAGGCAGAGGGAGAGGGAGAAGCCCGCTCCCTGCTGAGCCAGGAGCCCGATGTAGGGCTCGATCCCAGGACCCTGGGATCATGAGCTGAGCCGAAGGCAGACGCTTAACCATCTGAGCCACCCAGGCGCCCTGAAAAAAATAAATGAATTAAAACCCCAAACTCAAAAGAGCTGCAGAAAGAACAATGTAAATCAAAAGAAAGCACCAGAAAGGAAATAATAAAGGTGAAAGCAAAAATTAATGCGGTAAAGAACAGAAGAATGACATATCTAACTAATAAATCAAAATCCTGGTTCTTTAAGAAAGTATCAAAACAGACAATCAATCACTAGTTCAGCTACTTGAGAAAAAGGGGAGAAAGTTCACACACACGAAATAAAAAATGACAAGGGAGAAATAATCATTGAAATCTACAGAATTTAAAACATGAGAGACCACTTTGTAGACCTCAAAGCAAATGAATTAGAAAACCTAGATGAAACAGATAATTGACCAGAAAAATAGTTCATTGAAACTGACTCGCGGTGCCTGGGTGGCTCAGTCGTTAAGCGTCTGCCTTCAGCTCAGGTCACGATCCCAGGGTCCTGGGATCGAGCCCCGCATCGGGCTCCCTGCTCAGGCGGAAGCCTGCTCCTCCCTCTCCCACTCCCCCTGCTTGTGTTCCCTCTCTTGCTATGTCTCTCTCTGTCAAATAAATAAATAAAATCTTAAAAAAGAAATTGGCCCAATTGAAAGTTTAGATATAAGCCATTTCCAAAGAAGGGAAAGAAAGGTTATTAAGAAACTACGAAGATACACCAGGTCCCTTGGTTTCACAGGAGAATTTTACCAAGCCTTCAAAGAGAAGAGCATCTGAATGCTGGATAAACTGTTTTAAAGCACAGAAAATCAAAGAAAATTTTCAAACTCTTTTTATGAAGCAACTATAACATTGTTAGTTGTGGTAGGGAGAAAGATGCCCACATCCTAATCCTAGAAACTGTGGATATGTTACTTTCCATGGCACAAGGGACTTGGCAGATGTGATTTAAATTATGCTGATATGTGGAGATTATTCTGAAGGATCCAGATGGGGCCAATGTAACCACAAAAGTCCTTAGTTGGGAAAGGGAGGCAGGGGAGTGAGAAGATGCGAGCCCAGAAGCCTAGGTCTGAGACACACGTGCGCGTGCATGCACATGCGCACACAGACACATACAGATGGAGATCTGAAGATCCTACACTACCAGCTCTGAAAATGGGGGAAAGGGCCCTGGGCAAGGCATGTAGGGAGCCTCTAGAAGCTGGAAAAGACAAGGAAAGGGATCCTTTGTTAGAGCTCTCGGAAGGAACACAGACCTGCTTACCCCATGATTTTAGCCCAGTAACACCCATTTTTGGACTTCTGACCACTAAAAATAAAAGAATAAATTTGTGTTGTTTAAGACAGTGTGGTGATTTGTTACAGCAGCAATAGAAAACTAATACAATACTTAAAAAGGGAACACTAGTACAAACAAAAAGAAAATTATGGACTGGTATTATTTATTAATATAATATAAAAATCCTAAATAAAATATTACTGAAGAGAATTCAGTATTATATTAAGAAAATAACACATGATGACCTAGTGGAATGCATTCCAGGAATGAAAGGTTGGCTCATTCTTAGCAAATCTGTTAATATAATATATCATACTGGAAAACCTATATAATAATATAATATAATATAATATAATATAATTATAATATAATATAATTGGAATATAATATATCATATTGGAAGATCTATGTAATAGAATAGAATAGAATTGAATTGGAATATAATATATCATGTTGGAATATAACATCATATTGGAAAATTGAAAGAGAAAAATTATTTGAGCATCTCCATAGATGCTGAAAAGGCCTTTGACAAATTCAACATTCATTAGTAATAAAAACACTAAAAAAAAAAAAATCAATGGCTAGTTCCTTAACATGATGAAGATGTATACAACTTAGTCCTAAACCTCCCTCTCACTTAGTGGGGAAATCTGAAAAGCATTTTCACAAAGATCAGGAGCAAGGTAACATTGTACTGGAAGTATTAGTTCATTCAGTCCGACAGGAGGGATCAATCAGAGCCAACAAATTAGAAAAGAAGCAAAACTATCTCTATTCACAAATGTACAAGTACACCTGGAAAACCCAAGAGAATCGATGACAAAATTAACTCAAAAGCAGAAATATTTTTTAAAGTAGCAGGATATAAAATTAATATGCAGAAATCGATAGCCCTCATATACACAAATGAGAATACAAAGAGGTTTTAATGATGGAGGAAAACCCTATTCACA